ACCTTATATGAGCCTTAGTTCTCTCATGAATAAAATATGGATAATAATACTTTCTATCTCCTGAATTAATCCATATAAAGCATTCAGTACAGGAAGCTTTTATTTAAGCAGAGAATCAGAATGTGAAGTTAGCACATCTCATGGTCTATTTCTAGGCTGTGACAGTATCGAGAGATATAGCCCTATTCTGCTGTAGAATAACTATTAATGGAGGAACATGGGGCTAAGAACAAGCAGTGACTGTAAATGAAGTAGATTATTTCATTCACCAGAAATTTTCTGAAAATGCTTTCACAAGAGAAGAGGTACAGTGCTTGGTGGGCTTTATGGACTTTGCTCCACAGATCTTGAGGAATGATCAGGGGTCACAGAGCTACGAGGTCTTTAATCCGTCACTGAGAGGCCCATGTTGTACAGAGGAAGGCCTGAGGGTGACTGACAGCTGAGCGCTGGGGCAGTGTGGCTTGTGAAGGGATTGGAGGAGATAATAAGGAGAGCTCAGCAAGGAGGAGAGAAAGTGGGGAATATTTTTAACAACTGCGAAAAGTGTGGAGCTTAGGGGACAGAAAATTATGTCCCAAGAAGGCTTCTGGGATGTTTCTTTGTGGTACATGATATCAAATCCCTGCTTTAAGGAAACCTACAATAAAGGTCTGCATTATGTTTCAAGGTTTCTAGCATTAGATTTGTGATTCCTTTGAGTGTGATGTCATGCTTTTACTGAGACACATGTGGCCACTAGATTCATTAGGGCTACACTCAACAGGCTTCTTTCCCTTCTTTATTCAATTTTTTTAGGTCTCCTGTACTGCTCTTTCCCACCAGTCACTAGATGTGTCATTCATAGCAACAGCATGTGATTTATATCTCAAGATGTGTTGCAGTTTCCAATATAACATCTTATCTTTATTTATATATTGTATTATATTATCTATTTTTTTGCATATTTGAAAAGTGGCTGTTTCATAAGATTCAGGTATTACTTTTATTTCCTCTGCAGAGTGCTACACTTTGAAATCATGTGTGGTGCTACAGCAAGTGTTGGCATCCTGCCGACTACGCCAATTGTCATGCTCAGGCTCTTTTACCTGCCTGTAATCCTGCCAACTGGGCCAATTGTCAAGCTAGGGTTGTGTCTGGAGCTCACAGACCCCTCAAGCCCATTCACATACTGGGTCACAAACCCTTCACATGCCAGGCTGGGTTCCCAGACCCCTTACATGCCAGGCTGGGCCACCAGGCCCCTCACATGCAGGTCTATGAGCTAGGTAACCTGCCAAAAGGTCCTTGGAGCCATAGGTTGTAGAGCATGGTCACGCTGGGGCAGACGCCAGCCAAGCCCGTGGTGCCATGCATGAGCACCAGCTCCACCCACCCACCCACACAATTTGTTTATTGAACCACCCCCAACTGGCCCTGTGGTGAGGGGAGCCTGATTAAATTATTCTATTTTGCCAACATCACGTCTCAGAATTGGTTGCTTCTGAGAAGAGTTCCTGTATGTGGCTGATACCACTATACCTAAATTATCAGCATCCAGAAACTGCAGTCTGCTCCTATCATCAGGACATATTCTGACTCAATTATCAGGAAATCCGTTCACTTTCTGAACTATTCAGAAAGTTGGAGAGTGAGGACACGTAGGCTATATTTGAGCATCTGCCTTATTTTATTTTTTTTTTTTTTTTTTTTTTTTTGAAAATGAGCTTAGAAGGGACCAAATATAACTTGGCAGTCCCCACTTTTTGCTGCAGTAAATTTTTGGTAGTTTGGTCCAAAAGATGGATGAAAATGCGTAGAATAAATTCCTTACTCACCTGCTTGCTTTTCAGAATCAAAGAGGAGTGATCATTTGGATACCATCAATTTTATAGGGAAGACAAAATAGAAAGCTTTGGCTGGAACATGTTTAAGACAAGTCCAGACTTGCAGCACTGGAGAGCAACATTGCTCAAACTTTAAAGCTTTCTCTTCACAATTTTTTTTCAGATTGTCGATGAATGTATTTCCTGTAAAAGGGGAGCAAGCTCACTTCATTAAATAGCAAATCCCATCAAGAACTTTTCCTGAGTTATGCTTCAAAGGTGATAGGGCTGCTTAGGAGAGGATGAATCGAGGTGACATCAGAACCTAGACCATCAGCAGAGATGCCCTATCAACATGGTGATCGAAGACTAGAATCTTCAAAGATGGAGATGGTTTCCAATTTTCTGTCCCATGTCCTTACTGGTTTATTAATTTGGACAAACGATGTGGCCTGATATTTTGATCAGAAGATATGGTCAGTCACCGTAATTACAGAGAAAGGAATCAGGGACTGTAGATTACCCTGTAGAAAAAAGTACATAATGAAGGGAAGGGTAGAGAGGACTTGGGAGTTTAAGGGAGAAGGGAAGTCTCATTTGTTTGTTTTTAAGGAAAAAGAAAACTGAAAATTTTGTAGGCAAAGAAGTCAATGGAAAGAAAGGGATTGAAGGTAGAGGTAACACTGAGGCAAGTTCTGGAGAAGACAAGAGTAGATTTCATCACGAGCTGAGGTGGGCCTTGGAGAGGAGGAGGCATGTGCCATTCTCAGAGAAGCAGAAGACGATGGAAGAAATAGCGGCATTTGAATTGAAGGCATTCCTGACACATGGCCTAGTTGTCTCAGATAGTAAGTTAAGAAATGATCAGACGTCTGTGAGGAAAGCCAAAGTGGGGTGGGACTTTGGGAAGAATAGAAAAAAGCTACAGGGAAAGAGGACAGTGAGTTGCTAAGAGGAAAATAAACGCATTTCATGTCAAGTTTGAAGCTGCCCTGAGGGCCTGGTGGAGGTTAGGTAACAGGAATTGGCAAAGGCCCTATCACTAAATAGCTCGTCAGTGTCATCATATAGCAGCCCAGAAGCCAAGGAAATGGCTAGTTTGAACTTGCTCAGGATTGAGGATTGGGAAGTGCATGTCGTGGAGAGTCAAGGGGACTTGTGAGGAGTCCTTAGCGGGCAGCACTGTGTTAAAATGCTTGGAGAAACTTATGTTGAGTGAAATAAGCAAAGCACGGAGGGATAAATACTGTATGTCCTCTCTCATAAGTGGGAGCTAAGAGATAAAGAAGAAAGGAAAGAAAGACCACAGTGGGGCTTGGACTTGCAGAGGGAAAGAAAATACCTAAGGATACAAAGTGGAGTGGGGAAAGGGGGACGGGGAGGGAGGTTGGGGATAGTTGAGGGGACAGTTGGGTGGGGGACATGGGCTATAATCACAATTTGTGGTAATGGACATGCTGCCAGTATGGATCTGGCCATCACATCTTAGGCACGAATGGCAACAATTTGCTTTGTACCCCATGAATATTCATAACCAGTAAAAACAAAACAAAACACTTAAAATAAAATATTTTTTAAAAAAACGCTGACTGTGGCACCAGACCAAGGCCAAGGACCTAGGAGTTTGCTGAGAGCAAAGAAGGTTTATTAGAGAGGGTAGAAGGGAAGGACATCAAATTTGGGGATGATGACTTCAGAGTTCAACAGTGCAGAGATGGAGCGGTTTAGAGTGATAATTCCAAAGTTTTCTGCAATGGAAGTTTAAAAAGAGAGTCAAGGAATACTGAGGTCTGAACATTAAGGAAGTCATTCTTATGAATGTTGTTATTGTCCATTGTCCAGGCTGGATGACAGGTAGGTGGCGAGCAATCTGGTGCCATCAGAAGACAGGTGGGTCTTATTGTGGCAGGGGGTCACCAGGGGTGATTTAAGAAAATGCAGAGATGTAAGAAAGATTCTGAGCAAATAGACTGTGGTCCCTCATGAAGCGCTGTGAGAAGTGTGAAGATGAGACGAGGAAGGGACTGCAGGGAGGGAAAAGTCATGAACTGGATGGAGAGCACGACCCGTTTGGACCTAAGAACCCCAGTCACATGGAATGATGTAGTAGATGTTATATAAAGTGTGGCTCTGGAGAAACACTGGGTTACGCTAATGTAAACGGGTTTCTTTACTGCAAGGCCCTTCAGGGCCTGTAACGATGTACTGGTGTGCCTCATTTATCTCCAGGAAAACAATGTGTGACATGAATATGTGACATTCTTCCAACTTAGATGACCACAAAACTGGTTTTTCTTACAAATACCAGTATTCCAAAGTTCATACTTTGGGAAACTGTTCTAGGGCTCATCATAGGTTTTCAGTGTTTGTTGAATGAATGAATGAATGAATGAGTTACAGGCAGGAAGTTAAGAGGCAGACTGGGAGAGTATCAAAATAAAGAGAAGGCGTGTACGGTCTTTTTTAACTAAGACAAACATTTTGAGCCTAGGAATCACTCCCTTTGGTACATCTGTCTAATGCACCTGCCACTTTCTCTCCTGCATCCCTCTGCTACCTTCTTGCTACCAGTTGTGGACCAAGGAGTAAGACTTATTCATTTAAATACATCTCCTTATTACCTATTCGTTCCTTACTTTTGTAGGTGGTTCTTGCAAACCCCCAAATGGATCTCAGTGAAAGCAAAGTCTTTGAGAGTGGAGTGTTGGCAGAGTATACCATGAAGTTTTGAACCCTTGTGTGCAGAGGGTCCCAGGGTCCTCAGGTCTCCTGTGTGCTTACATGCAATGTACATGTATGTGCTACCCCCCGCAACAGCCTTCTTTCCTCTGCTATTTCAATCAGCTATCCCCACACCCACCCTCATTTCTTTTCACTCTGATGGTTAGCAAAGAAGAACAGGAAGCAAATGATACTCTACAAAGAATCAGAGTGAACTGGTTGGAGAATGATGTGCCAGATTAATGCTGCCTCTGAAAATGGAAAACTATCCCACCTCCCACCTCTGTACCAGGTAGGAGGACAGACAGGAAAGGTCTCCATGACAGGAAACATAGTACAGAACTGTTCACCAAGAAAGGGATTTGGTTAAGCAACCTATGAGATTTTGAATGGCTCTTAAGTAAATATCTGTCATAGGTGATACCAACCTATGGTGTTACCGTGGTGTAACCGTGACTTTTGTTGCTTTTTCAGAACGCCAACCAGGCAGCTCTATGGCCAATTCCAACACCCTCCCTTCAAGTTCAGCTGGGATCAGCAAGGAACTGCTTGATCTGCAGCCCCTCATCCAGTTCCCAGAGGAGGTCGCCAGCATCCTGACGGAGCAGGAGCAGAATATTTACCGAAGGGTCTTGCCAGTTGACTACCTTTGCTTCTTAACCCGGGACTTGGGCACTCCGGAATGCCAGGGGTCCCTGCCCTGCCTCAAAGCATCCATCTCGGCATCGATTCTTACCTCTCAGAAGGGAGAACACAATGCCCTTGAAGATCTTGTGATGAGATTTAATGAGGTAAGAAGGCACTTTTGGATGTTTTTGTATTTGAATTGTCAGTAAATTATTTTTAAGTATATTTCTCCTCTCAGCTTTGTGTGTCACTGATATCTCATTACTTCTGTGTCCTGCCACTTGCACGATGGCTGCTTTTCTTCAGGCAATGAGATAGACACCACATTGTCATCCTGGCTCTCTCTGCCCCCCAACCTGCCCTGAAGCCTAATTGATCTTATCTCCATTTCATATCATTCCCAAGTCCACCAGTCCTTCTGCTTTGGACAACCAGACTTTCAATCCCCAGTTCTCCCTTCCCCCCACCTTGTTCCCACAGGTGCTTTTAAGACAGGATTTTTCAATTTTGACTTTTGATGACATGATCCCTGGCCACATCTGTCTGGCTTACACCCTCTTCCACTGTCAGGCCTCCTCAGCAGAAAATTAAACCAAGATACCTGGGTCAGGAGAGAAAGAGGAACCGTGGGGCAATTCACTGAGGTACAGTGAATCACCCCACTCTCCTCTCTGCATCCCATTGAGATCTTCAGTCCCAGAAAGTCACTCTAAAGCCTCTGAGACGAAACCAGCAGCCAGTCCTGAAGCAGAGAGGTGTGACTGGAGCCTGGGAACTCTTAGAATGGAGCCACTGTACAGGGTCTAGGCATTAACTGGGATGTAAAGAGCCAATGGCTGACACCCCTGTGGCCCTGGGGCAAGGATGAGGGACAAGAAGGAGAGGCAGTTCTCTGTGCAGTGCTGGGGTCAGGGCATGATGCTCTTGGGCTTGAAGAGCACTTTTTACTCTCCATAGTGTAATCTCACACCCAAAGTTTTCTACCTTTTGCTTTAGACTTTTTTTTGCCTTGAATATTAAATCCCAAGATTTTATTCTGTGTGTTTGTCGGTGGTTGCTTGGTTGAACTCCACAAAAACAGTAATTTCCTATTCTAGTTATTTAGTAAACTCTACCTAAATGCTAAGAGCATACTCCCATTCTGGGTCACATATGACTCTGACAGAGAATCCATGAGCCTTTGTTACTTAAATACTTTCTAACTAGGGCCGGCCCAGTGGCGCACTGCTACGGTGCGCTGCTTGGGAGTGCGGTGGCGCTCCCGCTGAGGGTTCGGATCCCACATACAGACCGGTTCCCCGCTCACTGGCTGAGCGAGGTGCGGGCGCAGCACCGGGGTTTGCAATCCCTTGCCGTCCCGGTCCGGTACGGGCGCGACACTGAGGGTTGCGATCCGTTGCCGGACACGAAAAAAAGACAAAAAGGAAAAAAAAAAAATACTTTCTAACTATAGCAGCTCGCTTTGCAGCCTCCATAGCTTGCCAATCGACACCCCGATGATGGTTGTCAATGTCAGTGACCATGATAAGTCCCAGTGAATGCAGAACATGCTAGAGGCTGAGCTCAAGTGGTCCACGTCCAGATATGCCCCGAACACTATCCCTCAGAGAGATCTGTTATCCATAGGAACAGCTGACACCCGTGTAGCACTGTTGTGCTCATCCTCTTATATGTACCATTTCTTTGCTCCTCATGACAACCTCGGAAGACATATTGTCTTTAGCCCCATTTTACCAATAGGGAAACTGAGGTATGAGGAGATGAAGTCATTTGCCCAGAGTCACACAGGCAGGTGGCAACTGTGAGATTCAAACTCGCGTAGCCCGAGGCTGGGCTTTAAATCCTGCCTGTTACCTGCGTCAGGCTTGTGTGGGGAGTGGCGCCTGCTAAAACTGCAGACTCCTGGTCCCACCCCCAGCTGAGTAAGGCAGACTCTCTGGAGTCCACAGAGAGCTTGCAAACCACGCTGCCGCAAAGCTGTTTTTTTAAAATAAATCTGATGTTCTTGATTTTCCTTACTGATAAAAATGGGGTGGAAAATGAAAGTACCAATAAATTGAGTGATTTTATTAGTGGATTGTACTGTATTTCATGAATTATTTTGAACTTCCAGATCTATTCACGCTTACATCCTTAGGACACTATTCTTGTCCTTTTTTTTTTTTTTTTTTTTTTTAAATTTGATCTGAACTTAAAAGTAAATTGCCAGAACTTTTAAAATCTAATTTTAAATTAAACTTGGATTTTTTCCATTCACTGCCATAACCTTGGGAATCAAAGATGAATCAGTGATATCATTAATTCCAAGTTAGTGGCGATATGACCCACAGCTGGGTTGAAGCATGCTTTGGACTATCTCTGAAAATAGTTTAGCTAAGCAACTTCAGAACATAAACAAGATTTCTGGGAAAACGCTTAAACTACTTAAGAGAACAGTCTGTTTTCAAGTATTCTCAAGCATCTATTTTCATACATATTATGGGTATGCTGATTAAAAATCAGTCTTATAGCAGATCCCAAATGATCTCCACTAGGCAACACTGGGATAGTGAAATTCTAGTTGCCTTATACACTTTTCTTTATATACCTATTAAAAGAGAATTATTAAATTGAGATTTTCACCCACATAGAATGGCCTTATTTCCAAATTAGCATGGCTTTAAATACAGTAAAGAAAAGGAAGGAGATGAGCTTTCATTTATTTCGTAGGTGCTCTGGACTGGACATTTTCATATTCTTTAATCCCATTTAATCCTTATGACACAGTTGTCATTATCCTTGTCTTACAATGAAGAAAGCAAAGCTTAGACAATAAAATAAATGATGATAGTGTTGGATTATGACTCATAGAATGAAATAAATATTCTCGGGTCCATACTGATATAAATAAATATTGAATAAATAATCAGTGTGGTGGGGGTAGGAGGAAGCACAGCTCTTATTTATAGAAGAATTCCAATTAATAAGTGTGGAAGAAATGAGAGAAATAGAAAATCATTATTATAACATTATAGTAATAATTGTTGTGGACAAGAACCACTGATGAATTCTAAAGTTATTGGGTGAGTGTAAGTAAGTATGATGAGAAGCAGGGCATTTGCCTAGTCTCAAAGCATCTGTCCACAAGGTATTTATCAATTCCAAAGGGGAAAATAGAACAGTGGGGAAACTCACTAGACACTGCCTTAACCAAGCGGTCAAGGTTAACATGACCAGTAATGAGAAATATTAATGTGTGCCTCCTGCTATGATACACTGAGAAGGGCATGGCATCAGTTCTATGGCGTTCTTGCCAAAAACACATAACCTAAATCGAATAATGGAAAAATATCGGGCAACCCCAAACAGAGGGATGGTCTACTCTTCAAAAATGTCAAGATCATGAAAAGTAAGAAAAACGTGAGGAATTGTCAAAGGCTAGAGACAAGGAGACATGACAACTAAATGCAGTTTATGATCCTATTGGATACTGGATTAGAAAAAAGGAATTAATAGAAAAACTGGTGAAACTCTAATAAGGCTTGTAGTTTAGTTAGTATTTTTGTATCAATATTAATTTCCTGGTTTTAATAACAGTACTATGATTGTGAAAGGTATCACCGTTAGGGAGAGCTGGGTGAAGGGTATACAGGAACTCCCTGTACTATTTTTGCAACTTTTCTGTAAATTTAAAATTACTTCAAAATAAAAAAATTTTTAAGTAAAGCAGTAAGTCCGAGAGGTTGAGCCAGTTGTCCAAGATCGCACAGTAGCTGAGTGGATATGAGAATCCAGATCTGTCTGTCTTCAAAGTCTGTCTCTTCTCACCCAGTTGCCTCTCTACCTGTCAACTTATCAAGTTCAAGTTTGTAGTAAAACCAGAATTGCTAATCTGGAATTTAATTAGCCTCGAGTCTCTTTTCTCTTTTTCCTCTTTCTCTTTCTACTTTTTTTCTAAATCTCCTGTGCATCTATCCTTTTTCTACTTCTGTTTCTATTTTTGTCCAATTTCCTGTTATCTAGACTTCTGCCATCACTCCCTCATTCATTCGTTCATTCACATAAGATATATTTATTGGACACTTACCATGCCTTCTCTTCTTTCCACTGGTACATCATACTCTTTAAAAATAAGAAATTTGCAATATATGATGAAAATTGCCAACATTATTAGCTCATAATTTGGTTCTGTCAAAAGTGGATACACAAAATAAACTCACTTTCCTCAGTGGAAGGCAGATGTATATTCCTTGGAACATTGTAGTATCTTAAAGACAAGAAAGAGAATATTCGCTCCATTGCAGGGGTGCTAGTCACTTAGGGGAGAAGCGAATGCATTTATGCATTCATTCAATTATTCAGTTGACATTTATGCAGCACTTCTTAGAAGCAGGGCACTGTGGTGGAGATGCACTAAGGAAAGTAAGTAACAGTCTGTGGCTGCCAGCAGCTACAAGGCACAGACACAAATAATTACCAAAAAAGGCAGGAAAGGAGTGCAGTGTGAGTGGCACGGACAGTGAGTGGCACGGACAGAGGTGTCCAGGTGGGAGCTCAGAGCTCTCCCTGCTGAGCCCTGCAGTGTGGGGCTGGGCTGTGACGGATGGGAGGCATCAAGGGCAGAGGCTGTGCGGAATAGAGAACATTCCGGACTAGAAGACAATCGAACCGTTTTTTGTCATGAGCTAGACTCACTGTTCAGGGAGGCAGCTTTCTCCTGATTGTCAGACACAATCATGAGCTAGAAGTTTCCCACATTCTAACAACTCTTCACACAATGACTAAGTGCAGTGTGGACGGAGGGAAGAAAATTCCTGGTGCCTTTCAGGCAACATTGCGTCATGTTTATTCTTTGGAAATTATGGTTAAAATGCAACTCAGAGTAAGACCATGAAATAACTGAAAAGGTTTAGCTTACATTAAGGAAGAACAGGAGATAAATCCTTTAAAATCAGTTTGGATTGTGGCTTGGAAACAATGTTTCTCCCCATTCTCCCTTCTGCTGCCCCTACAAGACTGTAGTGCACACTAGAGAAGCTTCTTGAAGGCAGTCTCTTTATCCTTGAAAATTAACAGAAGTGAGTGCAAGGGGTCAGTCCTCAAGCAGGTGGTAGTTAAGGTCTCTGCTGGGGGGAGTTCCATCCTGCTTTGCTTGCTTTGGGAGACAGGTCTTCCTGAACCCTCT